CGGGGAGAGAGATGAATGTCCACAGCTGGGAAGGAAGCTGCCTTGCAGAATTCTTAATTGCTTTCCCTGCCCCATTAGCTTGTCACGTGTAGTATGTGCCTTGTGTAGCATCACCAGCAGAGCCCAGGGAGCATGACGCCCTGGTTGAAGCCATTCTTCTATGAGTGCTTTTTCTCAAACTCAGAATTTTTTAAGCCTGTTGCTCTCCCTACCTGGTAGAGGAGATAGAGCTTGTGGCTTTTTTTTTTTTGTCACCAGGGTGTGGCTGGGTTTCGGGTTTTTAGGGGTGTTGAAAGGACACCTCCAAGTACAGCCTCTGAGCACACAGTGGTGTGTTGCTGACAGGCAGACTGTACTTGCACAGGGAAGAGCATCTTCTGGGGAAATTGACAGCACTCCTGCTGGGCTGCTGCTAAGCTGACTGCTGGGAGTGTTGATCCCAGGGTTGCAGATGGGGTGAGTTATGTGGTATGTCCCTTGGGCACGTGCTGTGATCTCTGAATTGCCCTAGCCTCTTTAGGAAGGGGCTGTGGTGAAGGAGACCTTTATCTATACATGGCAAAATGGTTTTGTAGAGATGTTCCTAGAGCAAAGGGCCTTCAGTATCCTTGTTTTTAATTTTTCATGTGCTTGAGGATGCAGATCTCCTTTTGGTGGGCTGCATTTGGCCCCTGCTGCTTTAGCAGGCAAAAAGCAAGGAGAGTGATAGGGTGTGCAGCCAGCATGAAGGCAGAAACTGCCTTCCTGGCTCAAAACACCAGCTCCTAGACATGCTTTTAGGAGAACTTGTCCAGGACTGTCAACTTGCTGCACACCTTAATACTAATTAAATAAATTGTACTAGCTGGAAAACTTTAAAGCCAGGGATGCGTTCAAGGTGCTACGGAGAATGTGCTCCATGTTAATGCCTGGAGCTCTGAGCTTGAGGATATGGAGTCAAATCCACAAAAAGCAGAGATTTGGCAGTTCTGGAAGCGTAACTTGGACAGAGACAGGCCTGCTGGTTTACCTTCTTCTGTCATCTCCATGCAAAGCAATGTTTCTCCATCTGCAAGGGTCCAGCTTGTACCCATAGAACTGCAACTCAGCCACTTTTTCTGCCTTCCCCCTCAAAGTGCCTGCCTTAGCCAGGCCTCTTCTTAGCTGCTTTCTAAGATGGAAAAAAATGTATTCCCTGGCCCAAACCGCACAGAAAATTCCTCCACATGTGGAAACATGTGGCTGGGTGTCTCCATCCTGCTAAGCACCGTGCCAGCACCTCACCCTGCTGAGCTGGGGTGATGTGTTCAGACCAGAGCTTTAAGAGGTTTTTTCACAGCATAGCTCTCCAGAGGGAAAGGTGGCCATGGTCTTGGCCCAGAACTGAGACATCCGGGTGTTGTCTGCTTCCCACTTGAGGGCTGGCAAATGATAAAATGTGAGCATGAGGCAAGATGCTTCAAGCACAGGGGGAGTGTGGGGAAAGGATGACTTAAATCCCCAAAGCACAACTTAAAAATAACATTATTTGACAATGGAGGTTGGCTTCAAATTGACCAGGGTGTCTCTCATGCTACAACCTTCTCTTCCTGCCTCACAGGCTTCCCAACGGGAGGTGGAGGTGATGCTGCAGAAGAGGCTGGATGAAGTCAGTGACGAGCTCCGCAAAACCCAGACCAGCTACAAAACCTTGTTAGCGGACACAGAAAAGGCCAAAGGACAGCAGCAGAGCATTGCTGGTAAGGAACTGGGATGGGGAAAGCTGTGAGACAGACTGGGAGCTTTCAGAGCTAGGTGCTTGGTGGAGTTGATTGGGGCAGGACAGCTAGACCCAGGAATGAATTAGGCTGCCTGGTGTTGGTGTGGACAAGACATGGGCTGGTCCAGGGTTCTCTCCTAGGATGCTACTCCAGTGTCTCTCTTCTATGTTGTCCTACATCCCTACCAGCCCTTTCTGTGACTCCTGAAAGCATCCATGGCCAAGGCTTCTTTGGCTAGTATCCTGCTTGGGCAGAGCAGGCTGGGGGATCTCCAGGTTTGTTTGCACCTACCCTACCATGTTTCTCACCCCTTCCTCCAACAGAACTGCAGGCCAAGCTGCTGAGTTCTGAAGCAGAGGTTAAAAGTAAGTTGCTGGAGCTGGACAATGTGAAAGGGAAACTGCAGAATGCCAGCTTAGAGAATACAAAGCTTCTGGAGAGGATCAAATCCATCGAAGCTCTGCTGGAGGCAGGCCAGATGAGGGAGGCAGCAAAAGACAGAGACTTGCAGGTCGTGTGCTCGTTTAATTGGGGTGGGAGGAGGGGAATGGGTTACACTGCTCACACAGTACCTGTGTTATCTTTGCTCTGGGGTCCCCTCTGAAAGGGCTGACCTGCAACACATGCCTAGGGCAGGTAATGAAAGTCCTTTCTCTCTTTCAGGCAACCAGTGAAGCAGAAATGAAGCAGCTGCAGTCAAGGTGGGTCTAGGTGCACATGGAGAGTGCTATGGCACCTCCAGCTTGCTGTCAGTGTGTCCCAGGCTTCCCCAGGCACTGAGCCTGTGGGTGGAGGCTTCCTGCCCTCTCTCTTAGGCAGGCTTGGGGACTGCCAAGCTGGGGAGTCAAGGTCAATCCTGTCAAACAGTGTTGTTTAAAATACTAAGTGGCTCCAGGATTGGCCCCAAATAACAGCCAGTCCATTCTGAAGTGAGACTGAATTGCTCATGAATTGCACATGAACTCTGACCAGTCATGCCGAATAGGAGGTTTTGGTAGTGTTGGTTCTGGGGATAGGATTTCTGTGATCCAAGTCCCTGCTCAAGGCTGAACCAACCAGAAGAAGCTTTCTGAGCATGTTTCCAGGTATCTCCAAGAATGGAGATTATCCACCTCTCTGGGTCCCTGTTCAGTGTTTGACAACCTCTTCCCCCAACCTGCAGTGCTGAAAGCTTTCCTGGCATTTAATTGGAGTTTCCCACATTACAGCCTGTGCCTGTTGGCCCTTGTCCATGTGCTGGGCATCTCTGAGAAAGCTCAGGCTCTCTGCAGAGGGAGGATTTATCAGATGCCTCCATTGCCAGTGAGCATCCAGCATGCCTCTAAAGGAGGCAGCTGTTCAGATGTCCTGGGACACCAAGAGACTTGTGTAGTCCTTGTCAAGGACCTGAACTTTCCTTGTTTTTCTCGAGCTGAGGGTCCCTTCAGGGCAGATGGGGGATCTGAGGATGTGGAGGGAAGCTGCATGCTCTCTGGTGTCTAGTTGGCAGCCCTGATTTATGGTTACTCAAGATAGAGGATGATTCTTTGAAAATGCCAAGCAGTGGGCTATCTCAGCCTAACAAGCTGACCCAGTTGTGTAAGCTGGAATTTCTGGCCTTTGGATCAGGTTGCTTCTTCCTCTTTTGGTGTGTGTACAGCCAGCCAGCTACTTGCTTGCTTGTTACTGGTGATAACATGGTAGAAAACTAGATCCCACTGCAGTATTGCCATGGCTGTGGTTTTTAGTCCTGCTCCCTCTTCCTCCTGCTGTGTGTAGATCCCGGAGCAGACCGGGATAGCAAGGGCTGTGGTCCCCATCTCGGGAACTCGCTGTCCGGGAGGGAGATGGATGCTGAGACTCACTCCTGCATCCTGCCCTTCCAGACTCCAGGAGAAGACAAACCAGCTCTCATCCTTGGAAAGGGAAGCCACAGAGCTGCGAGAGGCAGTGGAACAACAGAAGATGAAAAACAATGTACGTGAGTGAAGGACAAGCCGTCGTAGTCAGCTGCTGATGGCTCTGTGGTGCGACCAGAGGCTCTTCCAGCCCCACGGAGCACTGGAAGCGTTGTCTCGTCTGCCAGGGAGCAGGAATCCCCCTGGCAGGCTGTGCAGCTGGAGCTGATGGGCTGCAGCAGTCAGTGGACTGCCTGGGGAGACATGTCTGTTCCCTCTTGGGAGGTTAGGACCTTGTAAGCCAGAAAGATCCTACCCTGGCAGGGCCAAGGTAATCCGTGAGCAGGCTCCCTCACACCTCACTGCTCTTCTGCTTTTTATCCTTCTACTGTGAAGTTGTCAGTTGTGTGAAGGTCACCTTGCGTCGCTCCACTTGGCCTGTGCTTGTGTCCTCTCCAGGCATCCTGAGGGTGCTTCTGGGTCTTCTGCCTTCATCCAGCTTTGCTGTGCTCCCTCAAGGCTACCGTCTGAGCAATGTGGTGCATCAGGCCACTTGCAAAGATGGAGGGGGAAAGGATGCACGTGGGCAGTGGGGTGGAAGACTCTTGACCAAAGCGATGGGCTGCTGCCTGATTCCCAGAGTGGAGGCTTTGAGATCCTCCTCAGTGCCAACGGCTTTGTGGCCTTCAGCAAGATGTGTGGCTTATTGCCCTCTGTGTGTGGTCTCGGCAGGACCTTCGTGAGAAGAACTGGAAAGCAATGGAAGCATTGACCACTGTGGAGAAGACATGTGAGGAAAAGCTACTTGCTGCTACAAAAGCAAAGGTGAGCCTGACATTTCTCTCTGGTGGTGATGCAGGTGTTGGAAAGGAAACATTCAGCCTCTCTGAGCCACCAGAGATGCTTGCCCACCTCCTCTTAGGAGCATTGCTGGCCCAACCCTCCTGCCAGCTTCTCTAAAGTTTGTCTTGAGGGCTGTCTATCCCTGGTGCTGGCCGTCATTGGGGAACTGGGAAGATGACTGAACTGAAAGTGACGTTTTTGTGGTTCTCAGCATCAGCAGTTTTTTCTGTTATCTGGTTTCCTTGTACTGGCTGACCCCTGTAGGCACAGAAAAGCAGGACCAGGGTTGGGAGCCCAAGACCTCCATCCCATGACAGTTTATCCCTCTTACAGGAAGAGCTGGCCCAACAGCTGGATGCACTCCAGACGCGAACCAAGCAGACGCTGCTCTCTGCTCTCCCTGGAGTCACTGTGTCCTCACAGCAGGTGGGCACAGGCTTTCTCAGACCCCTCCATAGCCTCCATCACATGGGAAGGAGAAATGTCTAAGCATCTTTCCTTCCTTGTCCTCTTTTTTTCAAACTCAGGATTATGACACGTGGCTACAGGAGTTTAAGGAGAAGGCCGTGGGTGTGCTAAAGCAGCAAATGGTTACAACAGAGCCCAGGGTAAGTGCGGGGGCTGGAAATGCAGGGGTGAGGAGGGAGTGCCTGAGGGTCGCTCATTTCCTTTCCTCACCTTTGTCTCGCTTGGTTCTCTGTCTTTCCAGGATTCGGCACTTAAATTAAAAGAGGCAGAGGAAGCACAAAGCACTTTACAAGCAGAATGTGATCAGTATAGAACTATCCTTGCAGAGACAGTAAGTTGCCTCCCTTTATGCTGTGTTGGCCTTCCACTGGAAATACCTCTTGACAGGTCTCCTGGCAGCCCAGGCTGCCTGTGAGCTCAGGGTGGGCATCCCTCAGTATGTTGGAGGGGCTACCATGTGGAAGACTATTTGTGAGTGAAACAGAGGAATAGGAGAAATGTGAATTTCTAGAGGTTTTCTTCAGCCTTACTGTGTTGGAAACCTTCCTGCTGGTGGTGATGGGATGTGGCACAGCAAGGGCTCTGATGAGCAGGGTGGTTGAGACCTGTTTTAGTCTCTAGCTCCACCTGAGGCATGTAATTCTGTCATGCATTCTTTGGCCCAAATTATTGGAGTGGCTTTGGGCATGCCAGGGCTTCCAGCCCTGACACTGCTCAGCCTGTGGGGGCTAGAGGTGGTTTGGGCTCAGCTGAGGCTTTGCCAACAGGAGGGGATGCTGCGAGACCTGCAGAAGAGCGTGGAGCAGGAGGAGCAGGTGTGGAAAGCAAAGCTTACGGCCTCTGAAGAGGAGCTCCAAAAGGTGTGTACATGTGGCACACCTGGGTTTGTTGCTCCTGTGGCTGGACTTCCAGGAGCGTGGGGGCCATTGGCTATAAATCAGATGATGGCCCTAAATGTTCATGCTAACTTTGAACCCCAAGACATGGGGACTTTCCCTTTTCCCCAAATCTATGCCTGCTGTCACCAAGCCCATCTCACGTAGAATCTACACCTCTATTCCTTCTGGATCCCACATCTTTGCCTGGTGTGTGCCTAGACCCTGTCAGTGGAGCTTGAGGAATGTCTTCAGCTCCTCGGTTCAGGTGTGGTAGTTGGGAAACCTCATCACCTCTTCAGTAATCCAATCTCTGCTGCTTGGAAGTTGGGTTGAGCCCTCCTGGTGGGCACAGGCTTGGTGGGAGGAGAGCACATACAGGGCTCTTCGACTCCCGTTTTCAGGAGAACTTGGCTTGCTCTCAAAACACGGGTTGACTTTGGCGTTTGTTGAGCCTTCAGAAAGGAGCTGAGGTCCAAGCCACGTACTGCACATAGTTTTGGGTCCAGCTGTCTGTCTAGCTTTGGGTACTGCTCTTCCTAGTTAAAAAGCCAGACAGCAGCTGCCAGATTGCTGCTGTTGCCCAAGTGGTTGGTGGGGAGCATGTTCCATGAGCTCTCATGATTTAGCTGGAGTTTGGGAGAACTTGACTGGCCATGCCTTTTCTGCAACGCAGACCAAAGTTAACTCCTCCCTTTTGAATGTGGAATGGAGATGAAGCTATTTTCCATGGTCTGGCTGCTCCACATCCATCACATGGCATTTTGGAGTTCTCTGGGACTGCAGGGAGGTGGGGGAGCTCTTGTACAAGTGATCTTTGATTTCTCAGCCAGTCGCTGGCTCCTGCAGCACCAGCGCTGCTGAGGGCTGGTGTAGGATTGCATGGGATGACGTGGCTGCTGGTGGTGTGTGTGATGGGCTGATAGTCTGGTGGCTAGGGCAGGTCCTAGAGCAGTCCTGCCTCTTGGTGGAGAAGAGGTGAATTCCTCCATTCAAAAAAATTCTGCAACCACGGAGTCCTCTTCAAGAATCAGCCCAGATTTAAATGCAAACCTCAGGCTTTTTCTGATAGCTTGGCTTCTCTTAATAGTATAGTCCATGACACCTCATAGGAAAGTCTACCTTGTTGCTTCCAAACCAAAAAGCACTTTCAGTAGGAAACTTGTGCTGAGTCTGATGCCAGTTTCTTGGGTGTTGAAACCTGACTGCAGCCAGCTGAAGTCCTGCAGGCAAAAGCTGTTACATTGCTCCATGATTTGTGGCCTTGGTGTGTTGGACTTATCCTCCCTGGGAAGAAGAGCTCCTTCCCTGCAGGCTGTAGAGCTCCTCTTTGGCATCAGGTCTCTTTCAGAGTGAAGTGGGAGAGGTGGGAGTGAAACACCAGCCAGTTTTTGGTTGGAACAAAAGATGCTCAGTGTCCATGTGAGATGCTGTTCACTGACCTTCTCTGATCCTTTCTGCTTTAGTCACACCTCCAGCTGAAATCCCTTGAAGGCATGGTGGAGAAGTTGAAAGCAGATCTTCAGAGCACAGATCAGGTAAGGGTTTTGGGGTATGGGAGAAGGTCTCCATACAGGTGCCAGACAGATGCTGTGCTTGGGTTGAGTTGGGCCCCCATCTCCTGACTTGCCATAGGGAAGACAGGCTTGGATCATGGGATGTTTGGGACATGTTAGATGTCAAAGATTCAACCCCTTCCTGCTTTCCTCTCTTTTTAATCCAGATAAAGGAACACACCTCTATTCTGGAAAAGCAACTGCAAAATCACTTGAAGACAGCTAGCTCTGAACGCCAAAACTACACAAAGGAAGTTGAAGCCGTAAGTGTGGGGGCTGTTGGCTTCTTAACCCCTTCTTTCTTCTAAGCCTGACTCACTACTCATGCACGTTTTGAGGATTTGAGGAGTGCCCTGGAGATCTGGGAAGCGCCCTAGGGATCTTCACCGTTGCAAAGCAGGAAAAAAGAGGTGAAGGTGTTGGCTGCAGTCTGAGTTGTAGAAACCTAAAGTCAGGAGATCCCTGAGCAAGGTGATGGGACAGTGAGATCTGTATGGAGATGCTGTCCACGGCTCCTTGGTGGCCTGTGGGATTTCTGTGGCTCAGGTGAGACAGAGCTGTCTCATGGCTGTCTCTCTGAGCACACATCAGTGGGCAGGTCAGCAAGTGATGCCATCGTGGCGTCTTTGGGAAGATGTGTCGTAAAAAGGCTTCCTTGCGTCAAAGGGTTCCGAAACCAAGTGCATAATTGGCCTTCTTTTCTTCTTTCTATCCTTTCTCAACAGTTGAGGCAGCTCTTGTCAGAGTCCCAGGAGCAGCTGGAGGTAGCAAAGACAGAAACACAGAAGCAGAGCAAGGAGCTGGCCCTGGTAAGGAGGAACTGAAGAGCTGCCCTGCTGGGACCTTGCTGCTCTGCCTGGGCCTGGTTTGCAAACCCAGCTGTGGGGCCAGCAGCCTTTCTGCAGGTTAAGGGAGGGGAGGAAGGCACAGCCAGTGTATAGGTACACCTGGTGCTGCCAGGCACCAGACTTTGTGGGTATGTTTGAGAGCCAGTGGGGGATTTTTATTTGCCTGCTTTTCCTCCTGTGATGGGGTTGGGAAGGAAGGGAGAGCAGCAAGGCTTGTACAAGCTGGCATGTAGCAGAAAAACCCAGCCACCCCACAACTGGGCACTGGTTACCCCAACACCACACTGGGGCAAGGATTTGAGTACCTCAAGCATCCATCTGTCCACATCTGGATGGAAGGACTGAGGCTGTGCAGCCCCTGTGTACAGGTTGTTCAGAGAGCTGAATGATGGGGCTAGGTTTCTGAGGTGTCAGGTTATAAGACTAGGATATAGGGCTGGGAGAGCCAACAGACCTGCCAAAACCATGAAGGCTGTTTTTAAATCTATACTTCGATTGTGAGAGGCTAGGGGGATTGTTCTTAAAATCCCATTGATGGTACTGCTCACCCATCCTTGAGTGCTGCAACTTCCCAGCTTTGCATCCACTACTGTTCAGCTTGCTGAGTGAGCTGATGCAGCCCCTTGCTCCTGAGGGGATGTGGCACAGGGTTGTCATTAGCTTTAATCTGGTTAGGTGGGCAGGTAGTTTTAAGTGTGGAACACATTTGTGTTCATCCCAGTGACCTTCTCTTCTGGCCAAGGCATGCTGTCAGCTTGCAGCTTGGCTGCTGCTATGATGCAGGATGGAGCTCCCGTGGTAGATAGAGTGGCAGGGGTGTGACTGGGGGGGTGGGCAGTGTTCAGCTGCCTCCCTAGCCAACCTAGCTGTGATCAGTGGTGAAATGGGGCCTTCCACCCTGCTTCTCTTTATTTAACAGTTTGACTATGTTAGAGCAAACCATCAAGCAGTGGCTCTAAACCAAGGTGCCAAGAAATGAAAGCAGGGCAGGCTTGTGCTCTGCACCCCTGGGAGCTGTTGTGCCTCAGTCTTCCCAGCTTAGCTACCACTGTCCCGCACCCAGCAGAAACCGAGGTGGTTTTCCAAACATTTCAGCTCATGTGCAAGCAGAAAAAGCCAGCAGGTGTTATCTGTAGGTCCTTGTGGGTCGCATGAGGACTGCAGCGCGGGATGTGTCACTGAGCCAGCTTGCTGGTCCTCCCTCTAGGTCAGGCAGCAGTTGAGTGAGCTGAAGAGCCATGTGCAGGATGGAGAAGTGGCAGGGTTACAAGCTGACCCAAGCGAGCCTGCACCCCTCAAGGTTAGGGGTGCCTGTGGAGGCACTGACCCTTAACTGTGTCCTGTGTCCTGTCTCACCACCTCTAACTGCATGGAGAACTGCATGTGGCTTTGCTCAGGGCTGTTGCAGCTGTGTTGTCTCCTGTCCTGTGTGTTGAGGGGAAGCCAGCCCCCCATCCCTTCAACCATGCATCCTGTTTCCATTGGGAACATGTTGCCAGCCAGCTCTCACCAGGAGGGTTCCCCTTGGGAGCCCTTTGTCATGGCATCAGGCTGGCAAGATTTGGGGGAACACGGGCAGGGCATACTGCAAAGCCCTTGGGCCAACATTGCCATGTGACAATGCCCTGGTGGGTTTGGGGCTTGAGCCTCCTCCTCAGAGGGAAACACCCTGACAGAGCTGTGCCAGGATCCCTTCCCAGCTGATAGGGATTAGGTTTACAGAGGGTCCATAAATCTTGCTGGAACTGGGTTGAGGGCACTAGCAGTGTTTGTTCCCTTTCAGGCTGACGCCTCTTGCCAGTGGTGCTGCTGCCCCGAGCCAAGCTCTGCCTTTCTCCTTTAATCCCATGAACTGTGGAGCCTTCTCCCAGGCATGTTGTCCTCTATGGGGTGCCTCTCATCCCCATCTCCTGGCTGTCACTGCCTGAGGAGCGAGCAAAATTTGGCAACGCAAAGCCAACCCGCAGGCTCACCGTCGGAATCCCAGCTCTTGTGTGGAGAGGGGATGCTGGTACCTATTGCCCTTCAGTGCCCTGGGAAAAGCTTCCACTTTTATCTTTCTGTCTAGCCCACCTTTCTTGGTGATGTCCCTGCTAGCTCGTTTCTTGGGTCTTTTTAAAAGTTTATTTCTGGGTGTTTTACCCGTTTCTCAACACAGTTGAAAACCCAGCTGGAGCAAAACGAAATGCTGGTGGAGAAGGAGCAAGTGCTGCGGCAAAAGCTGGCACAGGAGCTGGAGGAGGTAGGTGTGGTCAAGGAGGATACAAGGTGTGCAGAGTCTTTATGGATTCTTGGCTGCTAATGAAGCCTGAGAATTAATTTGAAGAATTAATTTGAAGAATAAATTTTAAGTTTTTTTTCCCTATCACTCTCTTCACCTCAGATATTGGCACATTCCCTCACATCTGAAGAACTTCTTACAGCAGCTGTGCTAAAGCAATGTGGTATTGCTGGCCCCTCAAATTGCCCCTCTCCCAGTCCCCCCATGTCTTTTGGCAGCTCTTGCCCTGAGGGTTAAGGGCTTTAGCTGGGTTTCATGCTGCTTCTGGCGAGAAGTGCCATCTTCCTGGTGGATCAGCACAAGCAGTGCTTTATGTTCAGCATCCAACCCATGGCAGCTGTCACCAGGGACGGGGCAGGATGGGGGAGATACCTGCTGCTGTTAGCTTCTGTGCTTACTATGTGTGCCCTTCCAGGCCCAGAGGTCAGCATGCAGTTTGCAAGCAGAGCTGGAAAAGCTGAGACTGGTTGAAAATGCAGCAGCTTCAGACACAGAGGAGGCCCAGCATCTCAAGGTGATTTGGCTGTGCCAGGGCAGCAAAAGTCATGTCCGAGCAGGACTAAGGGCATTGTTTATCTTTTTGGGGGATGATGGGGCAAGGTGAATAGTTAACCCTGCAGGTAGATATCTGTGAGCTCCACCATGGCTGAAGGACAGCAGGGGGCAAGTCACTGCTGCTGCATCCATGTTGGCCAAGATAAATGCAAACACTCACAGGCTGAGCTTTTCACATACTGAGAAACCATCCAGTTCCCATGAGGTCTGAGCCCATGGCATCTCCAGGGAGCCAGAGTGAGTTGTAGCTAGTAGGGTGATGCCTGGTCTCTCTGTCAAAGAGGGAACTTCATGTTCCTCTGGCTTGTAGCCACTGAGGCAACTTGATGCAGAACTGAGGTGACCTGTGGTATTTTGGAGGGGGGAAGGCCACCAGGTGGCAAAGGGAGTCTCAGGCAGATGCTTTCTTTTGACTCCCATGTAGGAAAGACTTGAAAAAGAAAAAAAATTAACAAAGGACCTGGGCCAGGCAGCAACCAAACTACAGGAGCTACTGAAGGTTACCCAGGACCAACTGGCCAAAGAGAGAGAAACAGTGAAGAAGTTGAAAGAACAGCTTCAGGAAACGGTACTTGTGGTGGCCATGGCCATCCCTCCCCTTGACACTGGTGGAGGCCCCGGGGAAGTGCACATCAGCCAGTGGTTTAAAACTGGAGGCAAGGTGGCCCTTGCTGCCAGAAACCATTTGGGTGGCTTTTGGGAAGCACTGGGACTACATGAGGACTACTGGGACTACATGAGTCATGGTTCTCCCTGCCCAAAAGGCAGGACCTGGCCCATCTGTGAAATGCTCTGGGACTTGAGCTGCTACGCAAATAAGGTTGGGACCTGGTTGAGTAACCCATCTCTTTTTTTCCTTCTCCAGGGGAAAGAAGACAGTTCAAAGGAAGGGACTTCAGTTTGACAAGTCTGCGGCCTAGACCTTACCATTCAACTTACCAAAATGCCTTACACATTCCTAAAAATAAAAATATATGCTAAATTTACTGTAGATAAAAGATACAAGCCATTAGTGACCCAAAACCTAGTTTTGAAACTTTAAAAAAAATACACACCCTTCCCCCCAAAACCCAACCAGTAAACACTGCAGTTTGTAAGAAAGTCTTCATACTGTTTTGTACAACTCTTGGTTTCCTGGGGAGCTGCTCTGGCCACACTGGGGCTTCACCCTCCTGTTGCGGCAGAACCCACGAATGTGTGAAAAGGGAAGACTGTGTTTGTACATCAACCAGTGCAATTATTATTGTATTTTTTCCTTGGTTTTTATTTTTTGAGTGAAAGAGGTGTGAAAGTAAGACTCACCGTGGAAGGATGCCACTCTTTGATGGGTGGTTTTTGGCACGTATCCTTTCGTGTATTTCTGGGTGTCGATGCAATTAAAAGGATGTAGTGAAAAGAGCTTGTCCTTGCTTTATTTTTCTGGGGGTTTGTTCAGGGTTTTGTGTTTGTGGGGTTTTTATGTATGCAGTGCAGGCACATCTTCAGAGGTCCACTGAAGAAGGACTCTGCTTTGGCCAGGAATATATACTTATTCCTCCATTGCTTGTTGTGTCACAAGAACCATCCCTTCCAGTTTTCCTTCCCTACAATCTAAGGAGGGAAACTTTTCCTTCCCAATGTGTTTTGACCTCGGTGCAGTGCTGGGCTCCCTGCACAGGGGCTGCCAGAGGGATTGCCATGGTGGTGGGACATGGGAGCAGCCCAAGCGTGCTGCTCCCTGGCTGTGGGGTCATAGTGAGATGGGGATGGGCATGGTGGGGTGAGCCATGCCAGCCCTCCAGGCACCATTGCTCCTGCTTACTTAAACCTCAGTGCTTCCCTGTAATGTCCCTGCAGGTGCTGTGTGATGGTGGTGGCCCTTGGTTCCTGTCAGGCTCTCCAGCCCTCTGCTTTCCCCTCCTTGTGGCTTTCCTTTATATTTTTTCCATCTTTTCTCCTTTTTTTTTATTTTCAAGCTGGTTTCTTAGGAAATGGCAGAGGTCATGTGACAGCTTGGTGCCTGTCTCCCCGCAATAAAGCTGCTGAGCCCAGTGCTGACATCAGCAGGATTTGAGAGAGGAGAGGAAAAGGCACCCAAATCACTTGATCCCTACAAGATGTGCAAAAAGTCAAGGCCAGGCAGGAGGATGAGGACAGACCTGCCTCCTTTTTGTTCCTGGGGAAGGCCAGTGTGTGCTTAACCCCTATATTAGACACCAGAGACTCCACAGGACTTAGGTGGGTATCCTGTCCCTTCCCCAGCAGTATGGCCTTTGGGGCCATGATGGAGATTGGATCTTGGATGGGAGGAGTGCG